ACTGGAGGGTATCTGATGAATGTTCCTTCTCGGATCATTTAAAGATTCTCTTCGAATACTCTTTTGACGGAGATAGACAACAGCCTTATCGGAATCCAAGGAGAACAAACTGGGAGAAATTCACGGGGCTAACGAACTCCCAGCTGACTCTTAACACAAACTTAGGAACAGCTGTGGAACTCAACGGGGCCGTGAAAAATCTAACGGACGTTCTCTTATGTTGCCATAAGGAATCCTGTCCGCTCACACATCCTGGGAAGAAATCTCGGCCAGTGTGGTGGAACAAGGAACTTGGTGAGCTCAGGAAAACGACCAGACGACTGTATAACAGGGCGCATAAGTCTAAACTCGACACTGATTGGAACTCCTACAGAGTTAGTTTCAATAAATACAAGAGTGAGATAAAACGCGCGAAGAAAAAGTCATGGGTAAATTTCTGTGAGTCGATAGAAGGGGTCAACGACGCTGCTAGGTTTCGAAAACTACTATCCAAGGACCCGAAGTCCATCGGTAGTATTAAGAAGCAAGATGGAGCGTGGACGGACTCAGGTTCTGAGACTCTTAATCTCCTAGCCGAGACTCATTTCCCGGGTTGCAAAGACATGGGTACCATCGACGGTGATCATGATGACACTCGGCCTTTTGCCACCCCGGATCTGGATCTCATTAGCAGGGTGGTTAACAGAAATAAGATACGATGGGCGGTCAACACATTTAAGCCGTATAAATCGCCAGGACCGGATGGTATTCTTCCGGCGATGCTTCAATATGCCTCGCCAAGTATTTATCTGATCCTTGAGAAGATTTACACTGCGTGTCTGACACTCTCGTGTGTTCCGGATCTATGGAACGAGGTAAAGGTCACTTATATTCCCAAAGCAGGGAAACCAAGCCACTCTGCACCAAAAGACTATAGACCCATTAGCCTATCATCCTTTCTCCTCAAGACTCTCGAAAGACTGATCGACCTGGAGATAAGGAGTCGTATTGACACCACTTCTCTCAGCAACTCACAACACGCATACATAAAGGGCAAGTCTGTGGAATCTGCACTGCACGAAGTGGTGGGATATATTGAGAGGAACATGGAAAACTCAAATTTTACGCTGGCCGCCTTCTTAGATATAGAGGGAGCCTTCAACAACGTTAAACTTGAATCCATAAACCACTCACTCAGGGAAGTCGGCATTCCTGATACTCTGACATATTGGATAAATAAAATGCTTAACAGCAGAATTATAAATTCAAGTGTGGGGGACACAAGAATCAGGAAAACAGTAACTAGAGGCACGCCTCAAGGAGGGGTGCTTTCACCGTTACTATGGCTACTGGTAATTAATATCATTTTGAGGGAATTGGACGGGGAATGTATCAAAGTTGTAGCTAACGCGGACGACGTTGTGATATTGATTTCCGGAAAATTTCCGTCTACAATCTCTGAGCTTATGCAAAGGGCCTTACTGACGCTGTCACGCTGGGCCAAGGCAAATGGTCTTGGTGTAAATCCAACGAAGACGGAGCTGGTAATGTTTACTAGGAAGCGTAAGCTCGGTGTCTTTGTTCCGCCAACATTGGATGGGGTGCAACTTCACCTATCTCCCGAAGCAAAGTACCTCGGCACAATCCTGGACTGTCAACTACGATGGAAAAGGAACGTTGAGGAGCGGGCGAAGAGAGGAATGATTGCACTCTATGCATGCAAGAACTCTATTGGGAAAAGCTGGGGGCTTAAACCATCGACTATACACTGGTTGTATAACACTGTGGTGAAGCCCATCTTGTCCTATGGCTCTCTTGTTTGGTGGAATTGTCTGAGCCTCAAGTCGACATCTAGTAAACTAGACAAGGTACAAAGAGCTGCCGCAATTTTAGTTACAGGAGCCAGAAGGAGTACGCCACAAGCAGCTCTGAACGCAATGCTGTACTTCAAGCCCCTGGGCCTCAGCATTAAGTGTCAGGCTGCGCGTAGCGCCTTAAGGCTACACGAACAAAAACTCTGGCGGAACTGTACCTTTGGACATAGTAGTGTTCTAAACGAACCAGGTATAGCATTGGACCAACGTGCTAAACTAAGCGACTATATATCACTAATCCTTAGATTCGACGATGTAGGGTCGGAGGGTCCTCAACCCTCACCCAAGAAGACGATGACTTCTCGTCTGGTAGATCCATCTACCTCTTATGCGGCTTGTGTTGGACTACAAACTGCAGAGAAACGACCGAGTACGGAGAAGGCTTCAACCTCCTCTGGAAAGGCGACCTCCAAGGCTCGTAGTCAACAACGTAAGCCGTATGAAAGACCAACTAAGGTAGCCACCGATGAAGACCTTCTTGTGGCAATCATAGACAAAGCTGATCCTCAGGGTAGAATCAGTGAGAGTCATTGGTTGCTGTTTGAAGGAGCCCTTCGGTCGGCTATCGTCTGCGGGACGGACCAAGGGGACCGACAGTTTGGTAGTGCCTTCATGCAGAAGGGCGCCAAAGTCATTAACTGTTTAAACAAAAAATCCAAGGATTTCCTTGTGGAAACCGTTAATGGCTTTGGCGCGCTCTGGGAAGGAGCTAACCTTGCAGCGGTCTCCCTAGCAGAAATCCCGACAAGACGGATCCTTTCGGCCTGGGTTCCCCCACCTTCTGTGGATAAGGAGCTCTTGCTGAAGATGCTGGCGCTACAAAACCCCAGCCTCACTACATCGAGTTGGATTGTGGTCAATCTAACTCCCTGTAACGAGGATGGTGGTATGGTGGCGAGAGTGGCGGTTGACCCACCAGGGGAGAAGTATCTCAGGGAGCGTGAGGGGAAACTGAACTTCGGTTCAGGATGGGTTCGGTTTCGACTGAACACATCCACCGAAACTCAGTAGGAGTGGGGAAGCGGCAAATGCTGCGCATAATGCAGATCAATCTACATCATTGCAAGGCCGCAGCCGCCGAACTACTCCTGTCCCTCACGAACTCGGAAGTGGACATTGCCTTAGTTCAGGAGCCATATATTTATAAAAATATGGTTTCTGGACTAAGGAATGCCAACTTTGATATCTTCGCCACGTCCACGGGGGACAAGGTGAGAACATGCATAGTAGGTAGGAAGAGCTTAAATTTAATCTTTCTGTCTAATTACAGCAATGGTGACATGTGCACTGTGAGGCTGGAGCACAAGACGGGGAAGGCCACCCTGCTCTCCTCAGTCTATATGCCCTTTGAGGAGAGGGACCCACCAGGCACATGTGTACGGAAGATGCTCGATGAAATGACGAGCACCTGCAATGTTATCTTAGGATGCGACGCAAACATACGAGATGAGTCCGTTTTTGATTTCATTTTATCCTATGATTTACGTATATGTAATAGGGGTAGTGATACGACTTTTAAAGTTAGGGGTATAGAGGAGGTCATTGACTTAACCCTCTCAAATCTAGACGACTCCGTCATCAGGAACTGGAGGGTATCTGATGAATGTTCCTTCTCGGATCATTTAAAGATTCTCTTCGAATACTCTTTTGACGGAGATAGACAACAGCCTTATCGGAATCCAAGGAGAACAAACTGGGAGAAATTCACGGGGCTAACGAACTCCCAGCTGACTCTTAACACAAACTTAGGAACAGCTGTGGAACTCAACGGGGCCGTGAAAAATCTAACGGACGTTCTCTTATGTTGCCATAAGGAATCCTGTCCGCTCACACATCCTGGGAAGAAATCTCGGCCAGTGTGGTGGAACAAGGAACTTGGTGAGCTCAGGAAAACGACCAGACGACTGTATAACAGGGCGCATAAGTCTAAACTCGACACTGATTGGAACTCCTACAGAGTTAGTTTCAATAAATACAAGAGTGAGATAAAACGCGCGAAGAAAAAGTCATGGGTAAATTTCTGTGAGTCGATAGAAGGGGTCAACGACGCTGCTAGGTTTCGAAAACTACTATCCAAGGACCCGAAGTCCATCGGTAGTATTAAGAAGCAAGATGGAGCGTGGACGGACTCAGGTTCTGAGACTCTTAATCTCCTAGCCGAGACTCATTTCCCGGGTTGCAAAGACATGGGTACCATCGACGGTGATCATGATGACACTCGGCCTTTTGCCACCCCGGATCTGGATCTCATTAGCAGGGTGGTTAACAGAAATAAGATACGATGGGCGGTCAACACATTTAAGCCGTATAAATCGCCAGGACCGGATGGTATTCTTCCGGCGATGCTTCAATATGCCTCGCCAAGTATTTATCTGATCCTTGAGAAGATTTACACTGCGTGTCTGACACTCTCGTGTGTTCCGGATCTATGGAACGAGGTAAAGGTCACTTATATTCCCAAAGCAGGGAAACCAAGCCACTCTGCACCAAAAGACTATAGACCCATTAGCCTATCATCCTTTCTCCTCAAGACTCTCGAAAGACTGATCGACCTGGAGATAAGGAGTCGTATTGACACCACTTCTCTCAGCAACTCACAACTTACGCTGGCCGCCTTCTTAGATATAGAGGGAGCCTTCAACAACGTTAAACTTGAATCCATAAACCACTCACTCAGGGAAGTCGGCATTCCTGATACTCTGACATATTGGATAAATAAAATGCTTAACAGCAGAATTATAAATTCAAGTGTGGGGGACACAAGAATCAGGAAAACAGTAACTAGAGGCACGCCTCAAGGAGGGGTGCTTTCACCGTTACTATGGCTACTGGTAATTAATATCATTTTGAGGGAATTGGACGGGGAATGTATCAAAGTTGTAGCTTACGCGGACGACGTTGTGATATTGATTTCCGGAAAATTTCCGTCTACAATCTCTGAGCTTATGCAAAGGGCCTTACTGACGCTGTCACGCTGGGCCAAGGCAAATGGTCTTGGTGTAAATCCAACGAAGACGGAACTGGTAATGTTTACTAGGAAGCGTAAGCTCGGTGTCTTTGTTCCACCAACATTGGATGGGGTGCAACTTCACCTATCTCCCGAAGCAAAGTACCTCGGCACAATCCTGGACTGTCAACTACGATGGAAAAGGAACGTTGAGGAGCGGGCGAAGAGAGGAATGATTGCACTCTATGCATGCAAGAACTCTATTGGGAAAAGCTGGGGGCTTAAACCATCGACTATACACTGGTTGTATAACACTGTGGTGAAGCCCATCTTGTCCTATGGCTCTCTTGTTTGGTGGAATTGTCTGAGCCTCAAGTCGACATCTAGTAAACTAGACAAGGTACAAAGAGCTGCCGCAATTTTAGTTACAGGAGCCAGAAGGAGTACGCCACAAGCAGCTCTGAACGCAATGCTGTACTTCAAGCCCCTGGGCCTCAGCATTAAGTGTCAGGCTGCGCGTAGCGCCTTAAGGCTACACGAACAAAAACTCTGGCGGAACTGTACCTTTGGACATAGTAGTGTTCTAAACGAACCAGGTATAGCATTGGACCAACGTGCTAAACTAAGCGACTATATATCACTAATCCTTAGATTCGACGATGTAGACGTCGTTATCCCTAGTAGAGACGACTGGAAAAGAAGTAACCCTCCTCTGGACGGTCTGGCCTTCTATACAGACGGATCCAAGATGGAAGAAGGTACTGGGGCAGGCGTCTACTGTGAAAGGCTAGGCCTTGAGTTGACCTACAAGCTGGATAGTAATTGTAGTGTTTTCCAAGCTGAAATCTTCGCGATCTGGAAGGCAGCGGAATTGATAAAAAACCTGGATGCTGAGGTCGTTGAACCGGTGACTATCTTTGTGGATAGTCAAGCGGCTCTTAAAGCCATCAAATCTTGCTACATCAAATCCGAAGCCGTCCTCAAGTGTAGAACAGCTCTGGAAGAACTTAACCATAGCTATCGGTTGTGTTGGGTACCAGGACATTGTGACATCTTGGGTAATGAAAGAGCGGACGAACTAGCTAGACGAGGATCTCAATCCACCGATCTAGAAACTGATGACTCACTTAAACCACCCATATGTCTTTTCTATAGAAACTTTGAGGCATTCTTTGACGAAACAGCCCGCGAACTTTGGCACAACGAACCTAGGTGCAACGTGTCAAGATCAATCTGGCCGACTCTGTCTACTAAAAGAACGCACTCACTATTGAACCTGAACAAAGCTGAAATTAGAGTGATGACGGGAATTATCACTGGTCACTGCAACATCAGGGCCCTTACTAGTAAATGGGATCTTGATGCAACTGATTACTGCAGACTCTGTGTTGACGAGGAGGAGACGGAGACAATTGAGCATCTCCTGTGTCACTGCCCAGCCTTGGCTTACAGGCGACACAGACTAATGGGTGCTCATACTCTTCCGTCTCTCAGTTTCTTCTCATCAACCGAACCTGCTCTAATCTACAGCATAATTAGAAACATAAAATGGTTAGGAGCACATAACCTTGGCACGTAATGCCTTTTTCTGTCTGACTCATAGGACCATCGACCTTCAATCTTTCTCCACCCCCTTTAATTTACTACTCTTCTCTTCCCTACAGATCTGTCTTCTTGGTCTCTTCTCTTCACTGTATCTTTTCTTGTGGATGATCACAACGGACCTAACCGGTCTCAGAGTGTTGCAGTCACACATGTGACTGCACATCCCCAAACCTACCTACCTACAACAACTAGATAAGAATACAAATTTTCATCAATTTACATCCATCATTGTTCCGCAACGATTTAAAACGTGATAAATTCTCAATTTCCGTCTGCACTTAAATATCTACGGCTCAAACTCAGATGAAGTAATAATGAATTGTATAAAAATAAGTGCGTGGGTTTCCCATTGACTCACTAGAGATTGCAACCAGACGCGGAATCATGCAGTGGCTAATCTTTTCTTTTTTAATTGCAATATTCTTAAGACAAAGTTTTCAATATAAATGGCAAGTGCAAAACAATAACAAATTGCCGGTAAAATAATAATATATAAATTTTTTATTTATAGCCCATATTCGGATCAGCAATTTTATTCATCCCTCTTGTCAAATGACGTTGGTAATTATAATGAATTGCCACCGAAATTTAATCCATATTCCAATAATGTTTGGAATTCGGCAAAGCCTGTACCCGAGGAAAGTTTGTCATTTGCAAAAGGTGTTTTAAGTGGAAATACACATGGTTATGATGTAACTGTGAATGAAGATAGTGATCTGAATAGTTTGTTAGAGGTTAACAACAAATTGGAATGTGCAGTTCCACCGCTGTCATGTGTCAATGACTCCAGTGCCTTGTATTATCGCAATTTTGATGGTTCATGTAATAATTTGGCACGTCCTGGCTATGGTATGGCCAATTCTAGATATGGTCGTATTTTAAAACCCCGATATGGTGATGGTAAATATGCTCCGAGTAAATCTCGATCGGGAGCACCATTGCCAAATCCACGTGAGCTATCACTGTCATTGCATGGTGATGATACTGTTATGGACAATACACGATCTATGCTGACAATGCAATGGGGTCAAGTCGTTGCACATGATATGAGCGAAATGATGGAAGGTGAATCGGGTGAGTAGATTTCAAGATGTGTGTTGAATATTATTTTTATAATAGTTTAAAGATAACGATTAAAGATGGCATAGCAAGTGCCGATCGATTTTTTTATTGGGAATGTCCACCAACCACCTTTTTATTAAAAAAAACATCAATTTAATTTGCGTTATTTTTTCGTCCCATTAATAATTATTTATATGACGTTTTCCCCCTCCCACCCCTAGTCGATTGCTGTAAAAATCCCAATAGCAAATATTGTTATTCGATACCATTAAAAGCACATGGACCCATCGCCCTTACATCGGGTAAAACCTGTTTAAATTTTGCACGCAGTTTAAGTGATGCCGATGTAACCTGCCCCCAAAGTAATTTTGGATATATTGAAAAACTTTCCAAAGCTACACCATTCCTTGATCTATCATCCGTATATGGTAATTCTTATGAACAAAATATAAAAATTCGTCAGTATTTTGGCGGTTATTTAAAGACAATCGTTAACAAGAAACAACATTATTTACCCTTAACCGGAACCACAAATGGAGAATGTCCCGCAAGTATGGGTCAATGTTATAGTACACCCGATGTGCGCAATCAATTAACCCCAACAATAGCGGTTATGCAAACAATATTTGTTCGCGAACATAATCGTATTGCAAATATATTGGGTCAATTGAATCCGCATTATTCGGATGAGAAATTGTTTCAGGAAGCAAGAAAAATCAATATAGCCCAGTATCAGAAAATAACCTATTATGATTGGTTGCCTTGGCTGTTGGGTCCCGTTTACAGTTATTCGAATGGTTTGATTTATAATGTTGACCCCTATCAGCATGTCAATGATTATGATCCCTCGTGGAATCCTGTTGCATATGCTGAAAATTCAGCGGGAGCTTTTCGTTATGCACATAATCAAATTCCTGGATGGTTTTCGTAAGTAAAAATGAATTTATTATCGGCAAATTTTATTTTTGAATATTCTTTGGTAAATTATTTCAGATTGGTTACGTCTGATCGTGCTCATAATAAAACTTTGCGTTTAAGTGATTACTTTAAACGTCCAGGAGTTGTTCAACTTTTACAGGCAGGTCGAAATTTTGATGATTTGGTTAGAGGATTAATAACGCAATTGCAGAAGAGAGCCGATGCTAATTTGGACAAGGAGGTAAGTGTGGTAAATGTGAACATACATATGCAATACGTCAGTATTTGAAATCCAAACATAAAAGTACTCAAACCACATTCCTGAGACCTATCTATATAGTCAAAGACAATCAAGGACAAAGACAATTCCTGGTTACATTCTATATATTTTTATTCCAGATAAAACATTACTTCGATAGAAAACTGTTCGATGAATTCGGTACCGATCTAAAATCTATCGATATACAACGTGGTCGTGATTTTGGTTTAGCCAGCTATAATGACTATCGCGAATGGTGTGGATTACCAAGAGCACATGATTGGTCCGGATTTGCCAATGAAATCGGTGAAGAGGTAAGTCAAGAAGAATCTCCATTTGTACCCGAATCTCTAAATTTTTAAACCAATTCATTCTCACATTTCAGAAAATATCGTTATTGCAAAAATTCTATAAAACACCCGATGATGTTGAATTAAATGTTGGCGGTTCATTGGAACAACATCATTCGGAAGCAATATTTGGCCCAACATTCCAATGTATAATGGGTAGGCAATTTTTGACGGCACGCAAGGCAGATCGTTTCTTTTTCGAGCATCACGATGTAAATACGGGATTCACAAAAGGTAAAGAAGAATATTTTAATCCAATTACTTTCCCAACAAATTATAATAATTCATCATTTCATAAATTTTCAGAACAATTAGCCGAAATCCGTAAAGTTAATTTGGCAGCTATTTTGTGTGCAAATACTGAAACTTTAAGATGTGTGCAACCGAATGTATTCCTATTTCCCAATGAAGAGTAAGTCTTAGATGTGAGTTGACAAGAAACTGAATTTTAATTATTTTTCTATTTTCAGTAATAATTTGATACCATGCAGTTCTCTGCCACAATTAAATCTCAATTTGTGGAAAGACCAACGATCCTATTATTAGATTTGAAAATATAATTGTTGTTAGAAGTCGCCAAAATAATTTTGATAAAATCTTCCTTTTTATAATTTTTTTATTATACGTAAACTCTTATACGTTTTTTTTTAAATTTTTAAATGTTTTATTATTAAAATCTATCATTTACCTAACTGTAAGCATATATACGGCAACATTTTGTATATAATAGTTAAGCAAGAAGCATTTATCGGTTGGATTAGACGACACGTTACAGTTCATCCTTCTTCTTGATAGCATAGGAGTTGAAGCAAACTCTAGCTGTGTTGATAAGTTCATCAGGCTAACATTCAGTGATGGTCTAAATGTTTCTGAAAGCAGCTTCACACGCCACAGTGTAAAAAAATACAGATAACACTACAAAGTGGGCGGCCTGACGACGGACAATGCAACTTGACCAAAACATGACATGATAATCTATCCCCGATGTAAACAATTAACTAAATAAAATCGTTTAAAAGTTCTAATTGTCGGACCTCGATAGAGCCTTTTAATAACGGGGGTTGTAACCATGCTATGATATTTAGGTTAGGATGTATGGCTGTCATTAGCAGCCGTTCACTCAGAGACATTTGTCCATTGTGTTCATCCTGGATAACTGGAAAGAAAGGAGAAAAGAAAAGTGGGAAAAGGGGAAACAGAACCTGCATCCAGGTTCGCCATCTGTTGCCGACTACCTTGCAGTAGTTCATACGAATTTTGACAATAAAGTAGCCAATAGGAGGTTGTACAGATTCCTCCACCAGTAGATTGGACGACTGCGACCCCCTCGAGCAAGCTCATCGGCTATCTACGTCCTGAAAACCAACATAATTTTACTATCTGTATACTATGAAGAGCACTCTTGCGGTCACGAACCAATTTTGTTTAACTCAAACACGACTTGAGTGCCTTAAGGACCGCCTGACTATCGACATATATAGTTGCCGGTCCTATGTTGTTGACTTTCTCAGCCGCTTTCGTGATTACCAGTATTTCGTTATGTTTATGTAAATGGTTAGTTCCTTTCAGTAAACGCCTGCAACTTCCTCCATCTTCGACCCGTCTGTAAATATCGACATAACGGCCAGAGGTAAGGATCCACTTGCCCAGGTTTCCCTACTTGGAAACTCTACTCTAATGCCGTTAAAGTCGTTATACGGGGGAGAATAGTCACTGATGTGAGTACTCCTCTCTAAAAAGTCACAAAGTGGCGTTGTGTGGAGGATACTAGGAGCCTCAAGGCAATATGTGCCTAGAATTTAACCAGAAAATCCAGTGGAGATTCAAGATTGCTTTCAAGGCTGCCTGCGGTGTGCTTCTTAGCACATCGCCGACAACGCTGTACAACACTCATTTTAGCCAGCAGTGTATGCTTGCCACCATACAAGAATGGGGAGTACGATCGTCACATACAGCCAGTGTATGATCTCTGGTCTTAGTCCCCAACTCTTACCTATAGAGTTCTTGCAGGAGTAGAGTGCTATTAAACATTGCTTAGTGTGTTCCTCAACATTACTTTTCCCCGTTAGTATGCTGTCGAGGATTGTACAAAAGTTATTTTGCTTTTAAGGGCTAAGGCGACTCCACCCAATCGGAAATTTGGGATATTACGTTTCCTAGTGAAGAGTATAATTTCTGTCTTCGTGGGGTTTATACCAAGACCATTGGCGTGTGCCCAGAGATAAAAGGGCACCTTTCATGATATCAGATATAGTCGGCAGACATTTTCCACCGACTAGCAAGACTACATCATCGACATAGGCTACACCTTTATCCTAAGGTGGCCAAATTTCAGCAGTATCTCAATTATCACCAGCCATAGTTGATAATATTCCTCTCCCTGTGGTGTGCCTCTGTTGACAGATTTCTTTACGGAACTCTCTCCAATGGATGAATTGATATTTCTGCTTTCCAGGATTGTATCAATCCAATCCGTTAGGAGGGAAGGGATACCTGGACCATCGGGATCAGAATGGATAGCCTCCAGCTTCATATTGTTGATTTGTAGGGTTTAAAGCTACCAGCTCTGGGTAGATTATAGTGTTCTCAATCAACTCTCCTCTTCCTTGGTTTAAACCGTATGCCGATGTGCACACCGCACTTCGTCGTTATGGTCCATAACAAGGGAAATGGGTTGATGATGGAAGATCCAGAGGATCTTTAGATATTACTCTGCGAAATCTGTCCGCTTCGTTTACTCCTTCGATTGACTCGCTATAACAAACCCAAGGCTCACGTTTAGTCTTCTTGATTTCACTGTTGTACCTATTAAATTGTTGTCAGTAAACGTCACAATCTTGACTAAGTTTCGTCCTACCAACTTTATTATATGATTTCCTAGCATCCTTCCTCAAGGATGCCACGTTCTTTGACAACCATACTGGCTGAGATTTCCTCGCAGGGTATGATATTAAGTACAAGAATTTTTGAAAAAAAAAAATAATTCAAATAAATCGAAGTTCCCTGGATGCACTCAATGAAACACCTGATTCCAATTCTTTTTGACGACTAATAATTTCCCACAGACAAAACAAAACCCCCTTTCAACCAAAAAATCCGCGATTATACCATCAAACTAAAACACTTATATAATTTAATATCACTTTTTTATTTTTTATACACTTCCCCTTCCTCTTCACCACCTTCTTCTGGTGCTGGTGTTGTGGGAGGTGGATAATATGGTGGTGGGTATGGATATCCTGGATATCCTGGATAACCGGGATAAGGTGGATATGGATACGGATATGAAGGAGAGTGGTGATGACCGCCAGGAGGTCCCTGTGGTCCTGGTAAACCTGGCAACCCTGGATGACCTGGTGGACCTGGTGGTCCTCTCTCTCCTGGTCGACCATCTACGCCATCTTTTCCTGGTGGTCCTGGCATACCTGGACGACCATCATCACCTTTAGGTCCAGGAAAACCTGGTGCTCCGGGCCTACCCGGAAGACCGGGTGGTCCTGGCGGTCCAGGTGGGCCTGGTGGACATTTACATGATGGATAATAGCCATGGTGTGGTGGTGGTGGTGGGTAATAAGGATCTTCTTCATTTTCTACAGTTTGTAAGATTACTGACTTTGGTCCAATCCGCACTGGCCGTATGCTTACTCCCCGATTCGGTTCGCAAAGACATAATTGTAATGTAACAACTGGAATGTGACAGAAAATAACCAAATAACCAATTAATTTGATGTGTATACATATTTCGGAAATAAATAAAACCACTAACCTGTTAAGAGTAATATGTGAAGCGTTCTCATCTTTGTGACTTTCTAACACGAAACTCTGTCAGTCATTGGTATTTATGTCAAGAGGTATTTGTGCCAATCTATGTTTATTCGCCAGAGATTGATAGTTACGGTATAAGTTTTATTTTCATCGTTTATGGATTCCCATTCTATGGCTATTGTTTTGCCTATTGAAAAAAATATTGATATTCAATAGAACACATCTTCTATTGTTCACATGGATTTATTATTAAATTTAGAACTTATTTGCATACGATTACTGTTTGAAATAACACTTTAGTCTACTTTAAGTGAGCTAATCGCATAAATGTTTATTTGGTGTAAAATTTGAGCATTAATATAACGGCTATGTAAATGCCCCATTCAGAGGTGGTGACGTTGTTTAGAGAAATTTAATGGATTCTATTGATGAAATTTACATCATTTACATTTACAAGTCAAGTATGAAATACTTTTTATAATTCAACGGGTTGTAACACATTAAAATATTGTGATACTTAACATAATTAATGCCGATATGAATTTTAATATTATCTTTTGTACTCTCCACTTTAAATGGTGGGTATATTCATTTAACGGTTAGTTTGTCATATATCGAAAGTCGAATTTCAGTAAATCGAGACAACTATCTTTAAACCACAAAAACCATTCAATGATAATATTAAAGAACATTATTGGCCCAAATGAGCTGCATAAATTGCAAAAATTTCAGAATTATCATTCATTCAAATGAATTGCCTCTATGAAGAATATTTTCCTGAATCAGTATGTCAATCTTGTAATTGGTGTCATAGCGGTGTCAACATGAAATTAATATCTAGCGGGGAAGAATTAATAACATTAAAACGAATATTTTTAGACAATGGAAAATTTGCACATATGCTCAATAGGTTAAATCCTTTTGAATATAATTTATATAGATCCAAGTTTTGATATAGGCCCTTTATAATTCTACATCTGATTTAAGGTAATTCAATGATTTTTAACACTTTTTAACTATGTCTTTTGTTAATAGTTAATATGCGGGGATAAAACCTCATTACGAAAATTTATTATTCATGTTATAAATTTATTCATTTCAAAGTTAAGAGGCCTTATGTGGTCAGTATACTAGAAAATAAACTTAAACATGATTGCATATGTTTGTAATTTATTTTTCATTTTTTTTATTTTTTTTGCATTTTAAACAATAGTATTTCCATTCATGTAACATGAGTTGAAGCCCCAAAATCATTCATTAAATGTAATAGATATAACTAAAGCATTGGAATTGGAACTACTCTGAGTTAACTTACAAAAAAATTGAAGTAAATATTAAGTAAGGAAATTCAACTACTCAAAATTAACAAATTAAAATGTATGATGATAACTCCGAAAACTATTAATCAAAACAAAATTGAATTTATTTAATATATGGCTACACCCCGAGAAAAATATAAAACGGTTTAATTATAACCATTATTCAAGCGAGTGCACATATTGTAGAAGATTATTTCGATATGCGTATTAGGTTAGATTGGATTCGCAAAATAAGTGGGAATGAATTATATTTATTATATATTATATAATATACCCTAGCAACCCTAGTGTAATATTAACGTTCCAATATTGGAGTTAATTGTGGGAAAATAAGTTGGAGATTTCTTGTAGACCTAGGAAAATTAAAAAAAAAATACAAGGATTTGTAGACACTGTGATTTAATAATCTTATAGAAATACATTAGATTTATAAATTGACGAAAATTGCAACCCAAAAATTGTATTACATAAGTTGTAACATGTTGTGCGATATTCAAAGCATATATGTACCTTATCACTCTATTAAAAACAAGACGTATTTTCTTCATAAAAGTCTCGATGGTGCCTGAATTTATTCCCAATATTCCATTTAATACTAAGTGGCAATTTTAATTCCACATTATATAGATTTCTGAGAACAAATTAATATTTGATATCAGATAGTATATATGATCTTCAAAATAAAGGTGCCTGTCAATAGTTAAACCCAGACATTTTATATTTTCAACAAATTCAATATCAATGTGATCAAATTTTGATTAATAATTGTTCGCAAATTTTTTTATCCCAATTTCATTGCCTTAGTTTTACCGACCCTTGACATACACTAAAAACTGACAAAAAGTCAGAAAAATGTTCATTGCAGACAAGATATTGAAATATATTTGTAATAATGAGTTCATTAGATGACAAGCCGATTTAGAAAATTTAAAAATGTTAATGCAATTCAATTCTCTCAAAAGCTTTTTCCATATCTAGCGACAACATAACACAGCATCCACAATGACTGACAATACTGCGAATATGATCCATTAGAGCAATAAGTAGGGAAGTTGTAAAAAATTTGTGAATTTGTGATTTCATAAGGTATTCAAGCATTTTGGAGAAAATCGGCATCATTGAAAAGGGTTTGTAAGATTCGGTAGCATCATGTTTACAAATTGGTACAATCTAGCATATTTTCCACAATGATGGATGCATGGATGTCATTAAGATCGTGTCCACGATATGTTTGATGAGAAATTCAACAAAAGGTCTAACCTAATCTTTATAAATTTTAAAGCGAGACCATCTGATTCCACTGCTCTGGATTTATAAAGAGTAACTACAATAGCAGAGAAAGCTTGAAAACGTCCACCATCAATGTTTTGGAATAGCCGAAAATACACATTTAGTTCATTGGCATCAACATCTATTACATACTTTTCATTACCTAAGTCATTTTTTTAATATGACAGATGTTTTCCATTAAAAAAGTAGCATAACTTTATTTCTAGATTTACAATAAATGTAGATGCACGTTGAGCATACGACTGTACGTTATGACCAAATAAAATTTGCTTCGCGGTGGTTTTATCACGTTCAAGCCACACGTAGAAGAGATATTTCCTTTTGATGATCATTCTCTTAAATTAGGTATAAAATGAAAAAAGGCAGAGGAACATTCCAAAAGATGTACCAGGCGGGACATACAAGTTGGAGCTTATACAAAATATGATAAATTGGAAAAATCACATCTAAATAGTGAGAATTGAGAGAGCAATTCCCACTAAGAAGTCAGTTTAAGTCATTGTGTTCATCCTATATAGTTTTTTTATATAAGTTTTAGGTTGCTGTTATATTTCACAGAGTTGTTGTTGTGGCAACTCACATAAAAGAAAAGGAATCGTTATCCATTGGGCGATTTGGAGCCAGGTCATTAGCTTGGCAGTTGAGTAGCTGCAACATGTATTATGTATCGTGCATTTAGTTCGTGCCCAATAGTACGGTATTGTCCTACTGCCTGTTCGTGAATCACACGAATTCCATCGTATTATATAAAATATATATAAACTGTTTTTAACCAATACTTATATAAACGTAATCACCAAAATTTTTCTCTTTGCAAATATAGTTTCTCACAAAATAGTAATTACTTTGTATATTGTAGTAAAAAGGTAAAAAAGTGTAAAGTAAAAAAATCCTTTATTAAAAACGAATAAACGAAAAGGATATTTCAAAAGTAACATAGTTTATAATGGTAATGTAAAAAATGCAATTTGTATGGAAAATTTTGATAATATTCGGGGTTTGTTTGTTTGCATATACAAATGAAATATTTTTTGTTAATGTTTTAAACTTAGTCTAGATAAGGAAAACAATGCCATCGGCAACCATAATTTGATTGTCTTCTGTCATACGATTTACAGCAGCTTCAATTTCACCATCTGTGAATTGTTCAACGTTATTTTCATTAATGGCCGAGGTAATGCGCGCCAATGACAAACTTTGTTCGCGTGCTTCGCGGAACAGACGTTGAAGACTGTTCTTGAAAACGCCCAGACGGGCATCTGTAATTGATGCTGGAGTGGATGCTGCTGCACTCGATGTATCGCCTGACGAAGTCATCGACTCGGATTGGGTCGTACCATTTGAGGCAGGTTTTCTTGAACCAATAGAACGTCTTGTATCACGACGTGTTAAATCACCAGCATCAGGTTGGGGTGTTTCGATTTCATCATCGCTATCAGCGGCCGCCGAATCTTGGGTTGTTTCCACGCGTGTACGTTTGCTGCGACGTGAGGGTGATTTCTCAGTTCCATTATCGTTATTAGTAGCTTCTTCATCCGACGAAGCACCATCACGTCTACGTTTGCTGCCTTTTTCTTTTTCCAAAACCTTTTTGAAATATGCAAACTGCACCAATTCTATGGCAGCTTGGGCATCATCGGCAGTAACTGTCTTGGACATACGAGCTCTAGCATGAGCCGTTGACAAACGGATGAGAGTTTCCAAGGTACGAGCTGTCACGGGTTGTGTACGGGCAACATCATTTTGCACACTTTCTTGAGACCGCAAACGGGAATATTCATTTGAGATGGCTTCACAAGCTTGTTCGCTCAACTTTGGCTTCATACACTTGGCAATGTGTATGTACTTTCTCATAAATTCGACAGATAGAATTTTCTCGTGGCGTTTGCGAGATTTGCCATGCAATAAAGCATCATACTTCTCATAGACTTCTGTTTCCTTTTTCTCAGTTGAGTTGGTACTGAACGACAGGGAGTCGGCATATGAACTGCCCATGGATAATGGTTCGCCATCAGCTTCCTTGGGATTGCGGTAACGATGCATACGAACAACATGATCAGATATCATCTGATCAATATCACTGTCGATAACATCCAGCATAACGAACAATAAATCGAAACGTGACAACAATGAGTCTTGCAAACCAATATTTTCCATTGGTGTTTTGTATTGATCATAGCGACCATAGACAGGATTGGCAGCAGCCAAAACTGAACAACGAGCATTCAATGAAGCATGTATACCAGCCTTGGAAATTGTAACTCGACCCTGTTCCATAACTTCGTGGATCGCTGTACGATCTATATCACTCATTTTATCAAATTCGTCGATACATACAACACCACGATCTGCCAGTACCATAGCACCGGCCTCCAAACGACGTTCTCCTGTCTCTTGATCAGTTGTAACAGCGGCAGTCAGACCAACACCACTGGAACCTCGACCAGTGGTGGGAATGGCACGAGGTGCAGTATTCAGAACATAACGCAGCAATTGCGATTTGGCAACACTAGGATCACCAATTAACAGGACGTTGATGTCACCACGCAAACGTGTACCATTTGGCAACAACTTCTCCACACCACCTAATAACAGACACAAAATTGCCTGTTTGACGTAGGTATGGCCATGAATAGAAGGTGCCAAACTTTTCGATAGCAACTCATAGATGTCATTGTTTTTGGCAAGTTTCTTACATAGAATAATGTCCTCACGGCTAATATCCAAATTGCTTTCTTTACTCAGCAAAGATATGTTGTTGGCCAACAAAATAGTACGAAATATACCCGAAGTGTAACCGCCTTGTTTACCAGGAAGACAGCGATAGCTTCCTACGATTTGAACACGATCACCGGGTTTGCAGCGATCAACCAGATCGTCATCGCAAATAATGTCCACCGAACGTGGTAACTGACCAGCAGGAGCCTTCTCGGGCATTTCTTGTATGGTTAAACTCTGATGATCTTTGTAGACAGACAAGCCGAATTCAGTTTCCAATAAATTTCCATCTTCGTCTTTTGTGGGATAAACAGCACTGGAAGGCATGGCCTCAAAGGATGTCAAATCAGTGTATTTTCTTTCCATTACTTTACGTGTAGCAGGACAATAATGGACGGAGCGTACAACTTTTGGATGTATAAGTGACACTTTGGTAACAATACCCTCAACGCACACCATGTTGCCCAAAAAGCTGAAAATAAAAAAGAAATAATTGTTATAAGATCTTCATGGGCTGTAGTGAACAAAAATCCAACTTACATTGATGTCAATGAACGTGGTGTTACATGACGATTACCAAAACAACCTTCGAAGCCAACAAAGAACTCCTCGATTTCTTTGGCATAGCTGGGATCCACGGTGGAAACATATTCTTTGAGAGCCCGCCCAAACGCCAATTGCTCATCCGATGCATTGCTCAGCAGACCAAGAGCTCGTTGAGGATTTTTACGCTTCAAATCGTTTATGTTGACAATTAAACGTTTGCTCTTTTCTGCAATCATGTCCTTCACATGACCCGAATATATGCCTTGATCCTCTTCATCGTCTAAGAAATCAACGTACTCACGCTGGATATCTTTGATATACTGCTCGGTTTCGGCCATTTAACACAACAATAACAATTTTATAACAAAACACAAAACAACTGAGAAAATAAACAAACGGTGAAACCAGTTCCGGTGATCTGAACGCGTCAAGCGTTTTTGAAATAATATGCAATTTTGCAATATTTGCAGTACAACACAATTAAATTCGCGTCGTACAAATGCAAACAATAGAAATGTAAGTTTGGCGGGAAATAGCAATGCGTCCAAATGTCAAACAGCTTGTGGTGACAACATAAGGTGCAACTTATGCAATGAAGTATGGCAGATGGCATTGGCAGTATTAATGTGCCTTTATAGTACGTTTACATTTAACCAGATTTCGTTAACCCAGTGGGTTTCAATTGTCATTTCCTTTGCATATATGTCAAATAAATCCTCATAAAGAAGGTTAACCCAGTAAAAAAGTTCTAATGTACAAGGAGTTTTACAGTGCATTTACATAAACAAATCCTGAATTTCGTTTATTTACACTTCTTTGCATATACACACATGCATTTTTTACAAAATAAATATATTATACCAAAAAATAAAAATGGAATAAATGGGAGAATACATATGAGGGCTTCTGGCATGACATTTTATTTTAATGTAAAATAATAAAGGAGAATGGTCCCAAACTTGTATGTTCCAATACTTTCTTAATAGTTAATCTAGTAAAATAATAGGAAATGTTTTGAAACGAAAAACTAATAAAATGTCAAAATTAGATGACAATACTTCAAAATCATCACAAGAGCCAATCAGAAGTTGGCATTCATAGATAACATTTTTACTCTGTCAAATTTCTCGAGTAAAAAGTTTACAAAGAGAACGCCATTTTGTTTTGTGTTCTCTTAAATTTGTTTGAAAGTTTTACTAGTTTTGTGGGATAAGGAATGGGTTTCGAGTAAAAGGTTGCAAAACTTGTAAAAATTTTAGATTCTTGCAAGTTCTGGAACGGAACTGTAGTGAGAAAAGTTCCCGTAAATGTGATTTTATTCAATAATAAAATATGTTTACATAAAAGGAATAATACCATGTTCTGACGAGCACTCCATGGTACAATTATAAAAGGTAACAGCAAATCCCAGCTGATTTGATTCCAACGTAATACTAGTGTCAATATGAATTTGACAAATTATGTTTTTAAAAATCACCCAACAGGAAAATTGGGAACGCATACAATTTGAAATTGTTCTTTATTAATGTGCTCCCGTATTCAATTTACTCAATCTGCCTGCTAGGAAAGTTTGAGGAAGCAAATCTTTCTTGAAGGAATTACTCGCTATTCCAAGCATTGTCATATGTGTTACACATATATATGGAAAGATGTGGAAGCGATAGAAATATAAATTTGATAGATTTTCATTCATGTTTTTTAATTTTTATTTTGAGGATTCGAAAATATGCTATTTTCAAAATAAAAATAATTTGATGATAATTTGTTTGTTTGTTTACATTTTTCTGTCAAATGAGTTGACACTAGTAGAACTTACAACAACAAATTTCCATGTGGTTGTTGTATCGTTTTTTGTACAACAACACTTGCTGTTACCTTTTATTATTATACCATGCGAGCACTCGAACAATGTAGTTCGCTCTCAGAATTACCTACATGAATTAACCCGTTCATACAACACTATTCTTAATTCATGTCAACAGAATTTTCTTTTTCAAACTTGTTGTTTCTTCTTTTACACCGAAATATATACTTATTTGTATATATTACCTATGAATTTAAATAGAAAAAAATATTCTATTTCTCCTGAACCCATAGCTATTTACTTTTCATTCATGTTTTCCTTTTTTTCTAAAAATGTTGTTATTTTTAATACATTTTTATATTTTCTCAACTCATATGTCACATATCAAAAAACATGAGTATTTTTTTTTTTTTGTTTATCGTTGTTATAAGTAGGAAACTAAATTTACTTCCCCCTACATGTATAAAAACTAATCAATTTTATACTTTTCATTCATCATTTCCAATTTTTCTGAAAAACAATTTAAATTTTTCCACCAAATATAAAAAACGTACAGTACACATGTAATGTTAATAAATTATCTTTATCCATCCCCTGGTGGTGAATTCACATTTATCTAAACTTATCTTAGATAAACCAGGTTTGCCAATGATGCCAAATACATTTTTGTTGTTACACATTTGTTGGTTGTGATTTCAGCTTCAGGAATTTGAAATGGTTTTAGTATTTGCTGAATATTGTGATTTCTTTAGCGAATGATTTAACCATATCAAAGAAGAAATCCGGATACTTTTAATAACAATATAGAATATAACCAATCTGGATTACCGATGCCCACATTTTATATATTAATTTAGAGTGTACAGTATATATCTAAGTATACGGTTTTCCAAAAGATGGTTAAGGGGCTTTGTGGCCCAATGTTGCCCACAGACAACAAAATGTATTTGAGATTATAATGAATACGTATCTATTAAATATATATTTTTGGATTACATATGTTAAAACCTGAACATGGACAAATACACATATATATAATCAATATATAGTTGAGGCAAAATGTGTACAGTACCAATTTGTGTATACAGTTCAAATTATTTATATCGTTTCGTATTCGAAATGTACGAATTGAACTCTCTAAATTATTTTTGATTTTTTGTACCAAAGAACATAAAAATTAATTTGAATTAAATTTTTCATCGATATTGAACGGCATGTACATTAGAACCTTTTGCCTTTCTTTATGAGGATTTATTTGGCATATATGCAAAGGAATTGGCAATTGAAACCCACTGGGTTAACGAAATCCGGTTAAATGTAAACGTACTATTGGATTCGCTTTTGTTGATCGATGCTCAAAAGTTTAAGAGCAGAACATTTTTCCAGAAGGACCAAAAATGGGTCTACCTGCCCCATTTTTTATTACAAAACGTCAAATACATTAGAACTTTATACCGGGTTAATCTACTTTATAAGGATTTATTTGACATATTTTCAATGGAATTAAAAATATAAACCCATTGGGTTAACCAAATTCAGTACAATGTGAACGTACTGTAATTTAGGTTTGTTAAGATTATTACTCTATGCGAAAATTTAAAACTCATGTCCTTATTTGCCAAAAAATCAACAATTGATTTATTTGGTTAACATATGAAAATACACACAGAAATAGGGCGGTCCCTAAACGAAAAAATTACATATGTGTTGTCACATCTGGTCTGTTCCCGTATTGCAAAAATATACTAATTTTTACTACGATAACACTTTTTTCCTTTATGATATCGAAAAAAATAGTAAAATCTAGTAGATTCTTACTGTACGGGAACATACCAATCGTTTAACAGATACCACTCGACTTGTACAGTAATCACATATGTAAAATTTGGCTCGTGTGACAAAGGCTTAATCAGGATATGAGATGATTTATTTCCGATTCGTCGTGATTTAACACAGCAAGCATATGATTTGCATTTTTAAGAACAGTGAAACGAGATGAACTAAACTGATGGTTCTAGTTCCGATCCTTCCTTCTTCTGAATGGTGCCTTTGAACTAGTTCAAATCCGGAGCGATATTTCGATTAATCGAATGTCAACTTTGATAAAAAAATCTTTTTTCTGTCGTGTTTCTCCGCTGGATGTTTTTGAGGTTTTTGTCGAAAAAAATTCACATTTCATTCCGAAAATTAATGAAACTTTGCAACTAAGTAGATTCTATATAATAAAATGGCTTTAAACTACGAGGAAATGAGCTGGAGAGGTAAGTGAATAAACAATATAACTGGCCAACAGGAAAAAAAAAACACCTCCATCCATATTTTGCACCCTTATGCCCCCCGTATGAATGAATGATTGAAAGAACACTTGTAACGATGCACCGTCATTGTACCACACATAAAATATAAATTAATTGTTGGCCGGATGGATATTAAATATGTTTTTATTTGTTGTTGTTATATTACACATGACCTACTTGTATTTGATCTATTGCAGATGTGCGCGACCACTTCCGTAAATGGAGGGAAGATAATGAACGACGCAGCGATGATGTTATCCAGCTATGGGAAGCTATACTAGAGGACAAAGTATCAAAAACTGGCAACGAAAGACACTTGATTTTGGAACAAGTTATTGTGGCTGCCCTCGATACGTCACGTTTTGACATTGCCGGCAGATGTATTAAAGAATTGAGCCAAGAATTTCCCGGCAGTATGCGTGTAATGAAATTTAAGGCAATGCGTTTGGAAGCCATGGAACGATATAGTGAAGCTATTGAAGTCTTAGATGCTATAATTGCCAAAGATGAAACTAATGCTGCTCCACGAAAACGTAAAATTGCCATATTGAAAGCCAAAGGTCGTCGCACAGATGCCATTAAGGAACTTAACGAGTATCTGAAGAAGTTAGTGCAAATAAGCCATGTAAATAAGAATTTTTATTAATCCATTTTGTTTTTTTAGATTTATGTCCGATCAGGAAGCTTGGCATGAACTTTGCAATTTATACATGGCCGAAGGTGATTACGCCAAAGCTGCCTTTTGTATGGAAGAAGTTCTTTTACACAATCCACACAGTCATTTGATACATCAAAGGCTAGCTGAAATTCGTTATACTATGGTGAGTAGAATTGAATAATATAATTAAATAATAAAGGTTAATGTGTAGCTGATAAGATAAAACGACTTAAAATATCAGACCGGTAATGCATATAACCCTCTAAAATGATCATTTTGTAATTTGAACAGATTTATCAGATTTACAGATTTATATATTGTTTATTAATAATAAGTGCAAATTTTATTTTCTGTAAAATACGTTAACAAATATTTTATAGAATACCTGTCTTCCCATTGAATTCGTCTATTTTCTACAGGGAACATGGAAGACTTCTATTTTCTATATGAAACCTACAAGTCATATATTTCCTATTCTTATATATTCAACTGAAGAATAAGGTCTTATATTTTCTACATAAGACCTAGAACATTTTTATTTTACATGGAATACTTAAAAGTATCTGACAGAATTTCTTTAAGGGGACCCCCCCATTCTCGGGGTCAAAAAATATAGCCGAATCTACACTAATTGATATAGCAGATTTATTGTGTCAGCATCAAGTGACGACTAAAGGGCTTCTCAAACTCTAAACGCGTTTTTCTCTAAACATTTTTTAGCGAATAGCGGGCACGATAACTCAAAAACTAATAACCCCATCGATTTCAAATTTTTACACGTTTCTCTGTGAGTGTATAGTTATCGTATGAACTAGGATAAAGCCAATCGGTGAAGATCTTCCTTATTTTTTAACTTGGGTTTTGGTAAAAAATCGGCGATTTTCCAAAAATATTTTTTCAAAGGTCCACCATTTTGTTAATTTTGGATTTTGTTAGTTCATACGAGAGCCAGACATGTACTCTTTCTAATACCGTTGGAATTTTTGGATTCCGATGTTCCAGTGAGGAGTTATCATGCCCGCCATCAAAAATAAGGTCTTTCAAATTTTTTTAATTACAAAAAACAACTAAATGTTATCGAGGTAGTTTATTCTGCTACAGGTCTTCTATTTTGCAGTAAAAGACCGAGAGGATTTTCCATTTCCAATAGTCCAACTAGAATTCCACTAGTTACTACTGCAGAACTAGGGATCTTATAATATATTTAAATTATCTATACAAATTTACACTTTCGACGTTACATATGTAAAAAATCGACGAGGACAATCTTTCCTCTCTGTGATACATGTCCTGCGTTTCCAATGCAAACAAAACAATATTCAAAATTATTTATATTTATTTACTTCTAGGGTGGTGCTGAAAATATTGATATAGCCAGAACATATTATTCACAGGCATTGAAGCTTAATCCCAACAATTTGAGAGCTCTTTATGGTATTTATTTGGTAAGAACCCAACCGAAAATGCCCCTAATATAATTAATATAACAATTTCTTTACAATTTATTTACAGTGTTGCAGTAGCATAGCAAATTCAAGAGCTTTGGGTTCGAAACGCAAAGAAGCTTATAAGATGGCCCAATGGGCTTTGGATCAGGCCAATAAATTAACATCATCTGTGTCAAAAATAGAAAATAACGATAAACTAATTGCATCGCTGGAAAGTGCGTTTGGCCATTTGGAAATTAAATCCTATTGACCAGAACGATGACAAACCCCAAGAGCATTTATTTATAAAAGCCTTCTATGTCAATGAATGTCTATCACCCCCCACATAACGTTAACAACAACAGTAGTCAGTTTCGGCGTTCTTTGACATATAAACATTTCACACATTCACACAACACAAACTACGTGCGCGTACATGTCTATAGGATAATTTAGAAGACGACAATGACTACAAATCACCCCAAAACGTTAAAACCTATATAACAAAAAAAAAAAAAATAATAAATAAATAAAAATAAATACATTTAAACAAACAACAAATACATACGTGAAGAACAACAAACAAACATGTTTACGGTCAAATTGTTACAAAATAATTAGCAATATTTAATTCATATTATATATATTATTGGTTCAGTAGTTAAATTTTATTTTTCCTCCTTTGAAAAAAACATTTATTTTGTTTTCTTCAAGTGCAACAAGGTATGGCTGGGTTTTGTTTACTTTCTTAAACTTTGGTTTATATTATTGCATTTTTTCCTTATGGAAAAAAATCTACCAGAGATAAGAAAGAAAAAAAAATTGACCATTTATGGGTCATTGTGTTTATGGATAATGATGATTACAATTATTATTATTTGTATTAGACAGCTTGTATTTCGTATATTATGATATGAAAATGACAACAACAAATAAATAAAAAAAATAATTTTATTATTTAAATCCAGAAATTGTTGTTTTTATTTGCAACATTGTGCAAATCGGAAAGTAATATTTACCTTGAATATCAATGGTGTGAACTTTACTTTTAAATATATGGGAAAATACAAAAATCTTTTAAATCTGAGTAAGCTTATAACTCGCGAAATATAAACATATTGCATATAATTTAAATACATTTTTATAAAATGAAGTGTTCTTGTCAAAATCTTAAAATATTGGTAATAAATAATAAGTTTGAAGGAATCTGTGATGGTGGTAATGTAAAAAAATGGGTGAAAATGTGTTGAAGCCAAGGAGTTTTTTATGTTCCTTCCTGATTTGTGGCTAAACTGCACAACGCACGCACATATGATCAGTGAATAAGTTGCAGAATACCCCATGGACAATATGGTTCTAATGCAAGCTTTTTTGATATAATCACTGCATCCACCCAAAACGGATGCTGACATTTTGAAGCCGGATTTTCGATGTTTTTTGAATTTTTCTTATAATAAAGACGCGCATCCAGATAATGGAATAAACTGATTATAAGATTGTATAACTTGTGGTTTTGCTTCGTTTGGGGTATATCTCATGAATGTGCTCACCGTAGCTTCTTTGCAATTGCATTCCAAAGACGAAAATTCGGTGCGAAAATTTTTATAAAAAACCTATTTTTGTTCATGTTCAATTCCGCCCAATAAAACGGCGGATATGGGTACCTTGATAGTAGGAAAAACTGCAAAAAATTATTTTGACTAATTCGCGAATATAATCGCGTTTTTCTTCGAATTGATTTTACATACATACATACATACTTGTATTATCATATTCGCGAATCTGTGTAAAAATAGATCAAAAATACATCGATACGCGAATAATATGGCTATTTTATTCAAAATTGATTGTGGTGGCACATCCGCGGTTCTTAACCAATTCTTTTAAAATAGATGTACTTTTGTGTATTTTCATTTGATTACTGAAATCTGATGCGCATAAAAATCTTATGCACGTGCGTCATTTTTAGCCATTTTTCCGGTTTTTGCATAGTAAAGTGCATCGAGCGGCACACTATGGCCGCTAAAGGAAACACCGAAAAATTCATAATTATTGGAAGAGATTGCTTCAGATTTACGAAAACCGCATGCGCAACAACTGATTTCCACGAATACGCGAATTGCATGCTTTCCAATATTGACCATTTTTATGTATTGTAAGTGCAATATATTTAGTCATTTTTAACGTCGAAATTGTTATTCGATGAATCTACCGATATTTAACAGTCATCTGAAAGAATTTTCAGAAGAAAGCGTCGTATATTTTAGAAGATTAAGGCAAAACCGTATTCCCTTAAAAATACTAAAAAATCGAAAATTCAAATAAACGTTTTGTCTTTATTAAAAAAAAAAATAATTTATTTTATTTTCAGATATCTTCATGCTTCTATTTGTTTTTCGCGACTATTAAACAATATTTCAATGTGATTTGACCAGTATGCAAAGAAAACAAATGTGTTTAACCATTTATCCAGAAATTCGCGAATTACAACAAATAGAAATTCATTTAATTTATATTTGAAATACAAGATTTAAAACCGCTATAACTTTTGTGCGAACAGATTTCGAATCAGCATATTTTTCTTAACCTATGTACCAAAAATCATGAATGTGCTCGCAAAAAAATCAATTTTTTTTAATGGAATTTTAAAAGAATTTTGTAATTTCCCATATATATCTGCTATAAATATTCATTGAAACTGTCGAGAGGAAAACATGTATTTAATAATAAATTTTATTGTATTCATTTTAATGAATATTTATTAAACTCTATAGTGAACTTCCCTAAAAAGGATAATAAAAATAATATAAACTAGGAGCACAATTGAAAATCCATATACTACGTAAAATATATATAGATCTTAGGGAAGCTCCCATCGTATTTTGATAAGCATAATTATGAAATAGTATAGTAATAGTAGTGTATTTAGATTATCTGTCTTAATTAGGAGGAAGGATATGGTTTTGAAATAACGATATTCTGCTTGCTATTATCGACATGTTGCTGTATGTAACAGCATGACTTTTTGGAATTGAAAAAATGCATAGGTTAGGTTATGGGATGAACTCAGAGACATTTGTCCATTGTGATCATCCTTGATACTTGAAAAGAAAGGAGTAGAGGAAAGTGAAAAATAGGAAAGATTGTGGAAGTTTAGAGAGTGAAGAAAAGTAGTCACTTTAGCCATGACAAAATCTTAACAAAGATTAGGATCGGTTCGGGGTCTATTCCGGAGAAGAATGCTAGATTATCAATTTCATATTTGCCGAACAGTCTATGCCTTCTGGCACTTGGCGATGGACACCTACAGATTATATGTTCAATTGTTTCTAGCTCCTTATCATCCTCACATATACGGCAATAATCCACTCTGTTATGTTCCCAACAAAAATTTTAATGTCCCTCTTACTATGAGACAACAGCGATGACGAGAGAATTTTGGAATCCTGCATCCAGTTTAGGTTGATCACATGTTGCTGACTACTTCGCAGTAGCTCATACGGATTTTACCAATAAAGTAGCCAATAGGATATTGTACAGATCTGTCAATCGGTAGATTGGACGATTGCGAACAACATCGATCAGGCTCGTCGGCTATCTCAATCCCTTATATGTTGCTATGTCCTGGAATCCAATATCAGTCGTATATCATGAAGAGCATCCTTGCAATCACGAACCGATTTTGAGATAATAATGCACGACATGAGTGCCTTAAGGGCCGCCTGACTATCGACATATATAGTCACCGATCCTGTGTTGTTGGCAGTAAGTGTTTTAACTATTTCCGCCGCTTTTGTGATTTCATGGATTTCTGCCTGAAAAACGCTGCAAAGATCGTTAAGTTTATATGAGTTGTGAATAGCTTATTCCTTGCAGTAAACGCTTGCACCAGTACCTTCCTCCATCTTCTACTCGACTGTAAATATCGATAAACCGGTCAGAGGCAGGGAGCCACTTGCCCAGGATTCCCTACTAGAAAACTCTACTTTGATGTTATGAGAAGGAATGTAATCACTAATGTGAGTACTCCTCTCTAAAAAGTCACAAACTGGGGTCTTCTTAAGGAAAATAGCGTGGCCAAAATTCAGCGACTTCCAGGCCCGAAAATTTAATCAGATTTAAGATGGTTGGTGATTTAAGATTGCATTCAAGGCTGCCTGTGACATGCTTCTTAGCGCTCCGGTAGTCAAGATCGACGCCGATCGCTGTACGGTACTCATTTTAGCCAGCTGTATCTTCTTGTTGACCCCTTGCCACCATACAAGGCAACCATATGTTAGAATGGGGAGTACAATCGTTACATATAGCCATTGTATGATCTCTTTTTAGTCCCCAACTTTTAGCTATAGAGTTCTTGCTGGACTAGAGCTTCCTTAGGGCGTTCCTCAACATTCCATTTCCACATCAGTTTGTGGTCGAGGACTGTACGACTGACTCCACCCAAAGATGGCAATCGGAACCATTTCTGACTTCGCCAAGACCGTTGGCGTTTTCCCAGTTGGACAGAGTTAAAAGGGCACCCTGCATGATATCAGAAATAGTCGGCAGAAATTATCAACCTGCTAGCAAGACTACATCAACCTTTGGATAGAATGCTTTCCAGCATTCAATCTAATCCGTTAGTTGGGAGGGGATACCTGAACTATGGAAAGCAGAATGGATAGCTTCCAGCTTCACATTGTTGAAGGCTCCTTCGATGCTAAAGAACTCAGACAATGCGTAACCGGAGGTCTCCTTATTCTCTTGATACGTAGACTTTGTATGGTTTCTGTTTTCCTCTGGTGGTAGGAATCTGAAAAAGTATGATTCTATGGTCCGAGAAGGAGCAGTTCTCGGATACTTTCCAGTTCGTAAACACAGAGTTGTCCTCGCCTGATTTTAATAAGATATAAATTTGTTCAGTTGCAAATTATATTTCAAATATTTCGAACTTATTTTATTATTGGTATTGTTATTTATTTTATGATTTTTCGTATAATTATTTTGTATTTGAAGAACCAATAGTTTATTATCAACCATTATTTTAAGCAACAATCACAGTATTTACAATAACAATGAGACTAAAGCTAAACAATAATAGTAATAATAATGATGACAGTTTATTTTAAAAATAATAAAAATAATCATATTAAAATGGCTAGCAGGCATAGTGGAAAAATTACTAATGATAAGGATGGGGGAATTTTTAAAAAAAAACAGAATAGAAATAAAATAAAAAAAACATACGATGAAGACGACATAAATCAACTTTTCTTGTGTAACTTGCAGTGTAGTTACTAGGTACCAAACTAGATTCTCGTATACTTCGCTGCAGGCCATCATGCACAACATGATAACCACAGCAGCAGCAGCAGCGCAGTTCTACATTTATATGGATGTGTGTCTATGGTTTTATTAATCTATGAGAAAAATTTTCCTCTGAACTTCAAGTTCAGTTGGTTGAAGAACTTGGGTATGATTTCTTGCGACGATTTATTCTGAAGAGATCCTTGAAACTCAATGAAGGTGAAATTTTACGATTATCTCGACTGTGGGACGATGAACCATTGCCTCTTGAACTTGCTGGCGAGGATGATGAATTCACATGGCCACCATTTGTAATGCTGTGATTTGTTGCTGATGTCAGACTTGCTCTTGGTATACCATCAAGATATTCCAGATTTGGCAACATTTGTAGTATGTATTCCCGATAATCGGTTATCATACCGGCGGGTAATATCAGGGGATCCATAGTGTAGACATTCAGGGAGCAATAATTGAAAGGCTCCTTTATGCCTGGATTTCCCATAATCGATAAATATTCCAAGGCGGGACATTGTGATCGTATACGTTGTATCCAATCGACAATATTTTTAATATCACAGTTATTGATCCTGTCAAATAAATGGAAAAGAGAATAAACAAATTTGTCACTATCACTATAAGGGGGCAAATCACAACTCACCATAGTATTTTCAAATTAGGCAAAAACGGCAGTGAATTCACTTCCAAATTAGTATTGCGATCCAATATCAACGTATGTAAATCTTCGAAAAATGTCAAAAATGATAAATTCTGAAAATTATTATAGCTTAAATCTAAAAATTTTGTTTGCATTGCAAATTTCTCAGCAATACGTCGGGGAATGGTGCGTAGATTTTCATAGGCCAATGATATTCGTCCATTTTCTTCAAGGATATTGCTGTCGCCCAGGGAATCTTCACTGCTATAACTGCCATTGGAAATGTTACCGCTAACGGAATAAACATTATTGCTCGATATCATTTTCTGGCAATTATCCAAGTAAATAGTGCTGGGGTATTCGGGTAGTTCGCATACGACGTCGTTGTAATCTTCGCTTGGCAGACTTTCGTATGATTGAAAATTGACACAGTTTTTTAATAATTCATATAAGTTACTGGAATTGAGGAGAAAAAAGAGATGTTTATTAATTATTGATAACAATTATAAATTTATAATATATAGATAATGGAAGAAAAAAAGAAAACAATTTGGATTCCAATTGGAATTTAATGGGATTGTGGTTTATTCAAGTGCTACGATGAATATTTTTTTTATAAGCATTGAAAACATGCTGAACACCATTCTACTGGAAAAGGCGATGAAAATTAGATATGTGGATTAAGATTTGAATTGGGATATTTATACAAAACAACTTATGTGAACATTAATATAAAAATCATAACGATGTTGGGATATTCAGATTAAATGCGAAATTAACATAGATATTAAACAATAAGAAATTCTCAAATATGTAGCAGACATTGGGTTATCTTCATGCACATGTAATATAGGGTGAAGGAGGATTGAGAGATAATGGATAGGGAAGCGATTGTGAAACAGATTGGGAATTTTATTATTTTTAATCAGTAAATATATATGCATGTATATTTTTCCCAGTAATACTTCTGAGGCCTAGAAATCACATTGGTTTTGTTGAATAATTGTGTTCATTATTCATGTAATTTATTTCACTCAATAGCATTCGTTGACATGCCCTTGAAATTATATCAAATTACATGAATTTTACCAATAATCAGTAATCACTTCACAAATGTTCAGATTTTCAGAATAAATACTTTAAAATTACTTTTTTATGATTAAACTTCCACATTTATTCAAATGGAAAATGTAAACATGTACTTCAAAATTCCCGTTCAATTTGTCGTTCAGGAATTCAGAAAAACGTATCTCTATTTTCAAAATAAGGATTTGTTTGTCATCTAGTAAGAATTATAGCTAGAGGATTTGCCATATTTTTCCTAAAAGGGATATGACCAAAATACATATTATCAAATTGTAAGATCTGCTGTTATTTTTAAAATTTCCAAGATACCAATAGTACCTGAATACGGAAAATTAATTATCCTGTGGTAAATTTTCCAGATCCTTTAAAATAACCAGGGTTTGTTTATAATGTGATTTAGTTTTATTAAAGGTTATAATATCTAGCGGGTAGTGAGAGACACGATATGCTCTGCATATTTAAACAATATGCCACAAATATACAATTAATGTATTTATACAAAACGTTTGCCTAGATTGGAAATATTATATTTACAGATTGCTTTCCAAAAATTGTTTTTTAATAGCCTCCAACATATAAGGAGGATATTTTTTTTGATTTTAAGTATTTTGATCACTGTCGCCTCATTTCAAGCCCGAATTGGTTCAAAATAGATGAATGGATAGGTGCGGTAAACCTTCTTATATGACGGACACTTTTTACTTGATTTTAAAATTATTCTAAATAAAAATACAACAATAGAATTTTAAAAAAAAATGAATTCTGTTCTGTCAACGGTTAATACCGATTCCACTTTTGGAATCGGGTATTATGATGAAAAATTCATGGCTATATGGTACAGATATTTGTTGATACGACAAAAATGTGTCGATTAGACCTCAAGTTTCTTTGAACCAAATCAATCACAGGCAATTTGAAGTTTATTTATATACCAATTTTCTCATAGCACTGCCATTCCCTCTGAACCTCTCCCCCAAATATTCCATATGTGGGAAACTTGTATGGATTGAAAGGGCATGCGATCCATCGTTTGAACGTCGTAATATTTTTATTTGAGCTTTATTAAATCTTCAGCATTATGCCTAATCGAAATATTGATTTGGGAACCATTGTTTCTTTGGGCCTAATTTGAAGTCGATTTACAAAAGTCCGTCCAAAGTAAGAAAGTAAGGTCTATTTTAAAAATGGGAAATATCGGGCCACTTCTTCTTGTACCTCTGACACAAAATTGTCAAACTTAAAGGGCCCCATACACTATACATCATGCCGTACAGCATTTATCATAGTATGTGTTATTTTTTGAAAGTTTATTTATGTATGTGTGACACACACAATGCATGAAGAAAATCAAAATAGTTTTGATTTTGAAAATGAAACCCTATCAATCTGGTGAATAATATTCATTTTGAAAGTTGTCAGTAAATAATTTTGTGTACAAAAACAATAGAATTGTGTCCGAATAAAAAAACAACTGAATTTACGACTCAAAATTCAATTTTTGGGACAAAAATCGATTTTTTGGAATAGTGATTGAAGAGTTTGCCCTACACTTGTCAATCTCACATATACAAATAGGGGTTCATCGGCATGTTTGCATGATTTATAGTGTATGGGCCCCTTTAAAGGGCCCCATACACTATAAATGTTTTACTGACAACTTTAAAAATGAATATTATTCACCAGATTGATAGGTGTTCATTTTCAAAATCAAAACTAGTTTGATTTTCTTCATGCATTGTGTGTGTCACACATACATAAATAAACTTTCAAAAAATAACACATACTATGATAAATGCTGTACGGCATGATGTATAGTGTATGGGGCCCTTTACATTACGGTTTAGAATTAACATAAGGTCAAAATCGAAATTTCATATTTTTTGTATACCTATAATTTATTTCTTCTAAAATCGGAAAACCCAAAAATGTGGACCGATATTGACGACGCATGGTAGGATGGAACATGTGTATAAAATCCTCTAAATACAGCCATTTAGAGGGCAAAGTTATTTGAGGCTATCACCAACGTACACAAGATTTTATTTCGGGGGTGAGGAAAAGGCTGCTGCTTCAATATGAACATTTTCATTAAAAAATTTGTTTAATGCGTATGTCCCTGGAGGCAATACCTAATGCAGGACCAATATTGATTGCATGAGGTGCTACCCCTAAAAACGAGCTCAAGATCATCAAAATACCGAAAATTGGGGGATAACCTTATATGGGGGCTACCAGAAAAATTGGACCTATATTTATAATTTGGTACCCAATAAGAACCCAATGTACCAAATTTCAGCGAATTCTGTTGAAAAGTGTGCTCAAGGACCCCAAAATACTGAAAATTTGGGGGTACCCTTATATGGGAACTATTCCTATCTTCGAAGTTGACCTGCCTGCAGACAAAATACAACTCTATACAAAATTTTTGCGATCAATCTAACGTGGTCAAGAATATTTATAATATTAAAACATTATAGGGTCCATACTATTGTAAAGGGTATAAAAAAATAAAATTGACTTTTATTAACATAGCTTGATGATAATATTGGAACATAATAGTCTCATTTTCAACCAAATTGTCTGTAACTTGGTATGTATTTTAGATTCGCATATTTTTACCAAAAATGATCAATTTTAGTCCACTATTTGGGGAGACCCATATAACGGTACAACTAATTTTCAATTTTCATATTTTTACCAAAAATGATCAATTTTAGTCCACTATTTGGGAAGACCCATATAACGGTACAACTAATTTTCAATCAAATTGCCTCTAATTTAGTATTTTGAATTCTCATTCGTACCTAAAGCTATCAATATTGACTTAAGTTTCGGGGTAGGCCCCATATAAATTCAAGCCAATCGGCTAGATTTTAAATTTCAAAAACAATTTAATGAATACAATTAAAAAAATGGCTGCCATTTTTGATCCACCCGGAAACCATTATATGTGATATTTATTTCACTTCTCCAATTAATATGGGATCTCTGAAACATATTGACAACAGGCTACTTTTTTGTTTAATAAATTAGCGTAGCTTATTGAATTTTTAAACAAAGATGACAGTATTCTTGAAGATTTTCAAGTTATTTTGCATATTCAATGATAAAATTTCTACTTATTTGAGTTTAAATATAAAATAATACTACCGACTATTTTTGCCCTATATCGACATGTCGACTATAAAAATATGTCCATTTACTAGAAATGACAGGTCAAATATTTGAACCTAATAGAATCGACTAGTAATCTTTCTTCGGGGTTCCATTTATAATATTAAATAATTTTAACTGATTTTGTATACAGAAAAGGTCACATATATGTACTGGGGATAGATATTATTCGGCACTAGCTAAAAATAATTTTTTAGTAACTCCACACATTGTGGTTGTTTCAATTCGAAATGTAAACTTTCTATAAGACACTTGCGGTATTTACACACTATTCAAATACTTGTTTTATATTTACACCTTGCAAATATCTTCCTTATTACAACTTCACGTAATTGAATAACCACTTGTCATCAATCAATTAATTGTATCACTTTCACACTTACCTATTTTCCTCTATACTATTAATTCCATAGGTATCCGACATAATTTTATGGTGGGATGTGTTTAGAAGTTTTACAACAACAATAAAGTTTTTGTTTACTTTTCGAGTTTTATCAAATGTTAGTAGAACATCAGTTATTATTTTTTGTTAGATTTCGTCTGTCACAATGATTTTTGTTTTAATTGTACAAAAAGTAGCTCTTTTACGCACAATTTTTTATTAAAATAATTACGGCCACGATTCTAGTGATGATGTTGGTGATGCGGCTGATGCTAGAACAGCATGCCTTTCTGAACTGACAATAAAAATTGTTTACACATCCAAATAAAATATGGAAATATGGAATACTAATAGCGACAAATATACACGGTCTTATCACAATAACAACAAAAGCTGCAGCAGAACCAGAACTCTATGAGGATTTTTTTATTTATTTGTTTTTGTTGTTTTAATTAATGTGATGATTATTGTTTTTGCTGATCACTGCTGGTGTGATGTTTTCTTCGAGTCCAATCCACGAGGGAGTTAAAGAAAAGTCGTTGATCTGCCCTTTAGCAGCTAGAAAACGAGGAGGCTGGAAGATTTCTAAGACGACCGATGACGGTGAGAGTGATCCGTTGCGGACGATGTTGGTTATTCAACTAAAATAAAAAATGACAATTATCAGATGATACTCGTAAGAATGAAGTGGAAGAAATGAGAAAATGTTTACTTGTTTGGTGGTAGGTGCAGGCACACTGTGTGCACATGTGTGTGAGGGTCTACGCGGCTACGTGCGTGCGGGAGTACATCATCATCATCATCGTGACTGTAATTAATCTTTTCGAGTGGCGGGTGCACTTTGGCACAGCAACAACAATAACAACAACAGCACATGACCGACGAAGAGTTGTTCTATTCTTGTTGTGATTTATTCTTATTTTCGATCCTCTTATTTGTATGACATTTTCCCTTTATTTTTTTAATGAGAATGACGGGTTCCAGTATAGAACAAGAAGAGCATGTTTTGTGTATGTTTTCTCTATGTGACAGTCAGCAAGAGATCTGTTGAAATCTGAGCTCCAATAGGAAGGAGAAACACAACTCAGATTAACTGTTTTTCCAGTCATTTAGGTAAGAGAGTGCGGCAAGGGTGTTATCTTTCGGAACATAATAATGATGTAGGTGATGATGATAACAAATGAATGTAAACAATTCAGGCAGGTACTTATACTTATTTAAATTTTTGTTAGACATTGTTTCCATCCGCATGTGTGTATTAGAGTGCTGCACATTTTTTAGAAGTGTTCTTCGAAATTTTTGAGATGATAATAAAAAATAGTTTTTTTTTATGACAAAGTAACTAGTTAGCTACCTGTGTTAACTAATTAAATTTACTAAGTATTTTTACGTTAATTTAGTGAAGAAAATCGAAATCCCAATAAAACACTAACACTGCGACAAAATGGAGCTCATGGTGTGTAGATTGGGAAATTCAGTTAACTAATAATCAGACAATATATTTTATGTGATCAGAAATGTTTTCAGGGATCCAGATCTGTCTACCACGAATTATTGTTTTTATCGTATGTATGTCGGCACAGGATTTTCGCATATTTAGGTTCATCTGTTTCGAAATTTTGTTTTCTACCCAATGCAATACAAATTTGTTGAATTAATTCATAAAGTTAACATGGGGGCGAACTCATGCCTTAGTCTTTTCTTCGTGACAACATTTTAATCACGAAATACAAACCAGAACAGAATAAAAACTCAAAATATCTTTGAAAAAAAAAAAAAAAAAAACGTAATAATAGTAATGTGCACGTATATTTTGTATCGAATAAAAATATATTTATTCCATTATTTTAGCTCAAGGTAGATGTATTAGGTAGTCACATCGACCCAGTGATTGTAACATTGAATGTCAAAATAAATTGTTGTAATTTTTAATTCGCCTAAAATACATAAATAAATTTAATTTTTGTAAATAAAATTTAAATTTCGTGACTTTTTCCAATTTTACTGTAAACCAATAGAAGTCGTCTTAGGCAAGAATCGAATCTACATACAAAATCTCCAGAATTCAATAAATTAAATAATGGAAATTATTGAAAGATGTAGAAAATATGAAAAGACACAGAAATTTGTTTTCAGAAGATAATTATTTTCAATCGACATTTGACTCGGGTCGTGATAACCCGATTACAAATTTTAATGGACGGACGGACACACATGACTAGAACGATTCTGCTAGTTGAGAGATGATAAACGATATACAAAAAGGATCTAGAATTAATATATCGTACAGCAACAAACTCTTGAGAGGTTTTAATTTAGAACTCATAAAGCTGAGCATTGCTCTCAAGATTTGATCATGGTAATTACATCCTTTATTTATAAGTTTAAGAAGCAGCGAACTTCAAAATATTTTTAAATGTAAATTATTTAGCAATTTTTGACACTGAACACATAATATGCGTACATTTCGAAGGAAGATATTTTCATTTAAATTCTGAAAGCTGAATACTATCAAAGGGAAATTTATGAAAAAATTGGAAACATGTGACTGCATGAGACTACCTTGTATAATTATGCCATGATCGAGGGCATAAAAACATTTTGTTCTGATTGGTTGAATCAAATTTGCCTAAATATTGAAATGTCAATGCGAATTGAATTTTATTGGCCTTTACAAATTTTGACATATAACGTTATATAATTGGCTCTACAAGATTTTACTATTATCTTCGATATTATAAAGGAAAATTCGTTAACGTAGTAAAAAGTAGTAGATTCTTGCATTACGGGAACAGAACAAATGTAGGCGCCTTTTATACCCTACACAACTATGTTGTCAGGGTATTATAGCTTTGTGCAGCCCCATGAGTTTGTAACGCCGCGAAATATTGGTCCTAGAGCCACCTTTAAGTTACCAATCGTCATATCTTTACTAGCTGAGTCGATCTAGACATGTGTGTCCGTCCGTCTGTCCATTATAATTTGTAAACACAACGGACCAATCTTCACGAAATTTTGCATGTAGTATGGGTTCTGCCCAATGAATACCACTATTGATTTTGGTAAAGATCGGTTAATATTTAGGGGATGAAATGGACCAAATACTTATTTTTGGTTGGTTTTTCTGGTCGCTCTAGAGCCCGCAATTATGGCCCAAACATGGAGAAGGGGATAGGGCCAAAGAATAAGCATACCTATTTTGATAAAGATCGGTCAGTATTAAGCGGGTCAAATGGACCCTGGCTTTTGTGTGAAAAACAAAATTTTGTATTCTATGGCGTATATATTTACTCATAGAGGAGAAGATGATAATATATACAAGAGGAGTGGTTGACCTTTAAATTGGCACCAATTATATTGTCGTATGCACTCGGATGTGGGAGTTACACGTAAATATTTACAGATGCTAACGTATTCAAATATTATTTAGTAACCCATTACCACACTAGAGGGCGGAAATATAGCGCCTTTTTCATGAGGATCCAGGTATGATCCAGGTTAATATTGGTATGAAGTGGACCGATAACTTAACTTTTTCTGTTTTTTTTTCGAGTCGATCTATAGACCACAATTGAAAGCCTAACATCACAACACAACCATCTGTGAAGGGAATCTGGAAAAGTAATTAGAAGAGCTATACTGAATATTAGTAATATTTTTTGATATCTAGTCGGTCAAAGGGTACAAATATCGCGAAATATTGCCCAAGCTCAGAACTACACCGCAGAAAGTTAGATTTTCGTGTAAGTAGTGTAGGGTATCATATGGTCGATGATCAATGTTCAATTAAATCTCGGATTGAAATCCATATTTTTGACATTCGTCCATATCTTGAAACCGTCATTGCGGACCACTTAAGAAAAAAATGTATTTAAATACATGGACTCCACACTCAGCCTATGAATTTGTGCCATAAATAAAAACATGGAAAAAATAAAATTGTTCGATCGGTTTCCTTGGACGGCATATTCAGATGTAGCAAAAGGTGCTTTTTGTAAAGTCTGCATCTTATTTTCGAGTAAAGAAGGGTTCGGAAAGGGCAACAAATTCTTTACCGCCCACGAAAAACGGAATTCCACAAAGACGCGATGATTAGCGCACAGGACTTTATATCGAGAATGAAATATGTTTCAAAACGTATAGAACAATATGGACAAACAAGTTTACAATATATTGAAATAACAAAAGTATAAAATTAAAGTGGTCACTGGGACAATTTTATTGTGTCCCCAATGAAATAAGTCCTCAATTTTTAATACACAAAACAAAAAACAACTATATTTGGGAACTTATTTCACAGTTTTTACGGACACATTTCTTTTTTAAATTCATTATTAATTTATTTCATTATGAAAAGAAACTCCCTAAATTCTAAAAATGAGATAAGCTCCAAAATTTTAGTGATTTTTTTCAAACAAAAAATTCGCGCGAATGTTTCTTTTTAATCCAACATGACAACACATTTCCACAACAAAACAATTTATTTTTGAATACTTAACCACGTGGGTAAAATTAGGAATAAACTCATTAACTGGCGAACCACTTAACATAGGCGGCCACAATTTGGCTCACATGTTTTTAAGGTCGAAACAAATACTGGTATGGGTTAAGTTTTGATATATAATAATTTTTGTCTATTTAACAATCAATGTGGCTGTAATTTGGCACTATGGGTACCAAATATACATGGACAAATTTAACGAAATTTATCCAAAAAACTGAACTTTCGCCGATAAATTTTTGCATTGTATATTTTGGTTCGCCACTTAATGAGTTTATAAACAAGTTTTCGATATTTACGCACGTATTTAAAGCATTTTAGAACTATTTTAAATCAATTTGATAACAGAAACCTGGTAATAGGGTGTAAGATGTTGCATTTACAGGGTATTTGTCCAGGATTATTTTTTGTATCTATTTTGCATTAGATTTGTTTTTGACGGAAAAAATACCAGTCATTTTTAACAGTTAAAAATCAACGGTTATTTTTTCCGTTAAAAAGGGATTTTTTATTTAGGCCACAAACTGTTATTTATAACTGATTTGATATA